AGTATTCAATGTATGGACAAATGGTAGATTTATAAATGTGTAAGATGGATTCTGATAAGAAAAATTCTCTGACATCACAACAAACCAATTTTATATATCAGATTAATAGCAGCTAAGAAAATGATAAAAAACCTTAACTTATAATGGTTAACTTATCAATCCTCATTCAGTTTTTTATTGCTTTTATTTTCATTGATATTATTTTTAATTATACCATATTGTATTAGTAACAATTTTGTTTGAAAGGGAAGTATATTGTAGGATCGTGGACATAAATTTACCATAGAGAATTTGTGGGAAAATTAAATAAAATAATAATAAAGAATAAAAAAAATTCATTTTTCTCTGATGCATGTTATAAATAAACTGGAAAGGGCTTCAGGTCACATGCGATTTTATGACACCACTTCTGGAAAAGCCACAATCTTTCTCTTTTCACTTTCTAAGTAGATCCTTCGGACATGCTTTCAGCAGCCCTACTCATAAAGTAGAGATTCAGCCATCCCAACTCAGCATGAGGCTGATGAGCTTGACAATCTCTACTTGTTCTTATTCTTAATTCCCATAAGTAATTTCTGTACCAAAAAGGAAAATGGACATACTCAAGAGACCTTTTAACTTTATTTCAATACAGTCAACATAAAAGGAATAAACGTTCATAGCAAAAACACAAGTTTTTTGTATGCTTCTTCTATCTTCTTTGTTTATATATTGAACATGCATCTTCACCTAAAAAATACACACAAAACCCACAACCTTGTTAACATCCACAAATTCCAGAATTAGTGTACTTTCAATACATTTTCAGCTTAATAATTTGCTTTCTTCTTTAATCAAAACTGTAATCTTTAAGTCAAAATTTTGGTCAAATGATGAATGACTAAAGCATTAAGTGTAATATATATATATATATATATATAAGCTTACAACAACATAAATATGGTTGATAGCATTAACAGAGCTAGTAAAAAAAATTACTGATAAATTAAAAACTAGCGACTGAGTAGGCAAACTTGCTGAAAAGGAATGTTACATAACTCTTAAGGACCACAAACAAGATTTTATGGAAAACCCTACTACAAGAATGATTAACCCTACCCAACTCGACATCGGTAAGATAAGCAAAAAAATCCTAGAAAGAATTACTTGGCAAATTAAAAACCACCTTGGATTAAAATTATGGATTAATACCAAAGATGTCATCAATTGGTTTACCAATATTAATAATAAACCTGATTGCACCCTATTACAGTTTGATATTGTGGATTACTACCCGTCAATATCAAAGTATCTGTTCACGACTGCCCTGGAGTTTGCTGCTGTGTATTCTGACCTGACAAAGGAAGAAATAAATATAATTCTCAGTGCAAAAAAATCTGTCCTCATTCATAATGGGGACCAATGGATTAAAAACAACAGTGACCATTTTGACATCACTATGGGATCTTTAGACTCTGCAGAGTCTTCTGACCTTGTTGGACTTTTAATACTGTACAACCTGACCGCGCACCGTGAATTAGATATTAAGGACATCGGGCTGTATAGAGATGACAGGCTCATGGTAGTGAGGAGTTCCACTAATTTTAAAATCGAGAAAATTAGAAAGATTATATATAGTGAATTTAGAAATCTAAATTTAAAAACTACAGTCTGTACTAAATTAAAAAGGGTAAACTTCCTTGACGTAACTCTAGATTTAACAAACGACACATACCTACCTTATAGAAAACCTAATACTAACCCCTTATATATACACCCTAAGTCAAACCACCCTCCATCCATAATTAAACATATACCCTTGTCAATAGAGAATAGAATCAGCATTAACTCCGCTAATAAAGAAATATTCCAACAACACAGTAATTTTTATAATGCAGCCCTAAAAATAGTGGATACAAAAATGCTAACATCAATTATAGAAACAATTGTACTAACCAGAAGAAAAACAGGAAAAGAAAAATCATTTGGTATACCCCTCCATTCAACCAAATGGTTAGTATTAAGCTAGGACAGAAATTCCTAGCTTCAATTGAAAAACACTTTGCTACTAATAGTAGACTTAGTAAAATATTTAATAAAAACACCCTAAAATTAAGTTACAGTTGCACTGAAAATCTAGAAAGTATAATAAAAAAACACAATAATAAAATCCTGAATAAACCCCCATGCCAGAATAGTATTAATAAAAACCCTACACTTAAATTAGACAAAAATAGTGAAAAATTATGTGATTGTAGAAACCCAGAACACTGCCCATTGGAAAATAAATGCTGCATAAAATCTGTGGTATACCAATGTACTATCTCATCCATTGAGAGTCCTAATACTAATATGATATACATTGGTTCTATGAAGAATGAATTTAAAACCAGATGGAGGCAGCATAAGTGCTCCTTCAACAATATAAATAAAAGAAATCAGATATCTCTATCTAAATATTTTTGGCATTTGAAGGAAATGAATAAAACACCAAAAGTTAAATGGAAAATTATAAACAAAACTAGAACTTGTAAAACTTGGGATGACCCATGCCCTTTATGCCTACATGAAAAACTACACATTATTAAGTTTCTAAATAATAAAAATTTATTAAACAATAGACATGAGTTAACGGTTTTTTTGCCAACATCATCAAATCTTCGCATTGAATAATTAGCATAAAAACAAACAAACAATAAAATAATAAATGCAAATTTTAAACTCCATAGTCTAAATAAATAGTTTAAATGCCCTACCCAATAAAAAAGAAAAGAAAAAGATAACCCTTTATGAAGTCATCAAAAAAAGAAATGTTAGCGAACTATGACAGTTTTTTTTTATACACACAAAACCCTTTCAGAAAAAAATAAAAAATAAAATAAAAAAATAAATAAATCTCCATAGACACTTAACCAGACTAGACGAAGTCATCTTCTGCTTTAAATTTAGACACCCCAACCTTACCCTGACTTGACGTCTTTGAATGTAACTGAGATATTGATACAAATTATTAACCCTTACGCCCCTTTTCTTTAAATAATTGCTCTAGCCATTACCATAGTAATTTCAATTTTAATAATGAATATGCTTATAAAACGCATAAATTTCAGGAATTAGTTATTCCAAAAAAAATTTTGCTTGAAGATGGAACAGAGCTTGGTACTTTAATTCAGTTTAATTCAAATAATTATATTGAAGTTTTCGGCTCTTGTTTTGAAACACGAGAACTCTTATGTAGCGATGGAATCATATTTTTAAATAAATAATTTTATATATATATATATATATATATATGTTTGTGTGTGTGTGTGTGTGTGTGTATCACTTATAAAGAACTAATGTATTTATTTTTAATCTGTCATTTTTTATTACTTCAAGTATTATTATATATATCTAAGATTAATACAAATATAAAATTTGTCACTTAGCTGAGTTATGTTATATTCAGTACCTCTTCATGAACCTTTGTTCAGTCCACTTGTCAGGAAATGTAGATAGATAGATAGATAGATAGATAGATAGATAGATAGATAGATAGATAGATAGATACTTATTTATCTTGAGTTTCTTTTGTACAGTGTCACTGGTTTGGGTTATTGCTCTGTCTTAGTTGATTTGATTTAAACATTGAGCACTTTGGATTATTGCAATGGCATATATCTGCCTTTGATCTGTATTTTCTATTTTATGTTTCCTTTTTCTTTTTTGGTTTCTTTGTTTATTGGTTCTTAGTTTTTCCTTTTATTTTCTTTTATTCATGTTTTTTTTTTGGCAGGCTTTTTGTTGATGGAGTTGCATTAGCAAGTTTTACCAATACTTTGGTTTGTTTTTGATGAGTGACTACAGTATAGGTAGTAACTACCTATAAGTATTTATAAGTCAACAAACTACAGAGACTATCTGGGATCTGTTGAATACGAGTACTTATGCGAGAACTACCGACCTTCCAATAGTAGTGCTCACTATTGGATTGACTTGCGACAACCTCTTGCATAACTGTTACCTTTATTCTTATCATACTGGTTCATTACAATAAACTTTTACTTATTTTATCCACCTTGTTTTTCAAGTATGTATTCCTATTAGCACAGAATATAACAGTTTTATATCGATATATAGTTTTATGTTTATATATTAGGTGCATGAACAAATGATTAGAACATTAGCATTCTGACAGTGAGACCCTGGTTCAAATCTCACCATTATTGATTTGTTAGAAAAGGGACTTCTTAATGTTATGAGCTTGGAGAGATGATCCCAACATGCAGCAGCATTGCAAAATCCCTGAAAAACATGCCACATGTTTACCCAAGACTTGGGAGTAAAATTGGATAAAAAAACTGTTCAGAAGCTACCAATAGTTGTGATAGTCACAAATCATCAACATTAAGTCACAAATCATCAACATTAAGGGTTTCAGCATAGTGACCATATTCAACTGTTGATCACACCAGATTATGCAGTTTGTCCCAGAAACTGTAACTAATGTCTACTCAGCATAATTGCAGTATAAACCACAGGTTGACTCTGTGGGCATTGAACAAACACAAATGAGACTGAGATAGGTACTTTAGCAGACAGGTGTACTTGAAAACAGGCAACAAGTAATCAGTCATTATATATATATATAAAGAGAGAGAGAGAGAGAGAGATTTGTTATGTTATTGAGTATATAAATAAGCTTTTCGATCCATCAGTGAATTCACAAAATCATCAGTAATTAGATATACACATAATTTATTATGAATAAAAATGACAATAGGAAAACTGGTAATTGCTGACGCGTTTCGTCCAATGTGGACTTTATCAAAGCAAAATACGAAAATGAAAACAGAATGTACCTAGCAACTGGAATGTAGAGAAACGCTATTTTCATATTTTTTAATATACACATAAATAGGTATGGGAACTTAAAATTGATGTGTGTGTGTGTGTGTGTGTGTGTGTGTGTGTGTGTGTGTGCGTGTGCGTGCGTGTGTGCATACATATGTATTTATTTGTGTTTATGTAGATACTTCTGAATGTATTATCTGTGGACTGTGTGGACTGATTTGAATACATGTGAACCCAGTAATCAGCAAAATTAAAAATTATAATTTTTTATATTTTATTGAATAATCCTTATTCTAATTTGAAATCTAGATTGAAATTCTTCAGCATTCCAAATTCTAATTGAACTTTTGAAAATTAAAATGTTCAAATTACCAAAAACACTTAAAAATGACTCAATTCAATGGCTGACTTGTAAACCCACAGCAAAAATTTATATTTGATTTTTGACTTTTTTGTCTAGTTTTTTAGATTTTTAATTAAATCCATTTTTTTTTTTTTACTTTTTTCTTTGTTACTTCTCTTCATATTTTACTATCACTTCCATTTCCTTTTTTTCCTCATTTTTCATATTTTCCTATTTTTTTTCTCCATCTTAGTTTTTCCTATCACATCAGTTTTTTCTCCATATTTGAGTGCAACTTTTTACTTTTTTCTTTACCTTATTTTTATACGATTCTCCTCTCTTTCATATTTTTCCTATTGTCCTTCCCTCTTTTCATTTCCACTCAGCTTTATTTTTACTTTTTCTCCCTCTTTACAGACTTCATTTCTTTCACATTTTTTTCTCTCAATATGTAGCCTATTACTGTTTTCTTATTTTCTCTCATTTCACTCTACTTCATATTTGCCACTATCTAATTCATCTAGTCATTATTGCTCATCAATATTATTTTTTATTTCTTCACCTTCTCTTTCTTACACTTTCCTCATTCTTTTTCTTCACCTTTTAACTGCTTCATTTTTCTTTTTCAGTTCTTTCTTTTTTTCTTCTTTGTCATATTCTCCATTTGTTTCTCTTTTCTTTTGTATTCTTTCTTTCTTTCTTGTTCCCTGTTTCACTGTCTTCATGATTTTTTTCTCTTGCCTATCTTGTCCTTCTTATTTCTCTTTTCTTCATTTTGTTTACTCTACTCTTTCTTAATACTTGTCTTTTTTCATCTTAAGAATGAACTATGCTGAACTCTATTCTCCCCATCTAAAACTGTGAAATGTGATTCAAATGCAATGATGTAACACAATCACTGCATAAGCACAACCAGTTCAAATTTGAAGTCTTTTCATTTTCATTAGCAAATTCCTTTCCTTTTAAAAAATTACATTTTACAGGAAACATTGGATTAATTTATATACAAAATCAAACATATCAATAAATTATGATTTTCTAGTACATCAAAAGTCTTTTTGCTTTCAAATTATCTCCTCACATATTTCTGGGTGTCTTATTTTCTTTTGATGAAATATTCTGTAGAGTGCATTATAGTGTTACAACTTTAATACAGGGGCATGATGAGATCCTTCCTCTTTCTTTGCTAAAGCTGGATTTGATATGGCTGTGTTTTCATAAACTTCTATGAGTGGCTTGTTCATCCTCTCAAATATCAGTAGGTTGGTAGGCACTCTTCTGTCAAACCCATTTGTCAACACTGAGGGGCCAGAGCTCAAGGGTTCCTTATAAACTTCATAAGGAGGCCATGTTTCTGTCTCTTTGTAGTCAATCAAAATGTCCTGAGGACAGCTCTCACTTAGGCTTGTGGGTCCCAATTCATCCCCTGCTGGAGCCAAGTCCTTTATTACGACTTTGTTTTCCCATTCATTAGGTTAATGAAAACATGCATACTAGGGGTTGGTGTCTAGAAGCTCCACTTGATCCACCAGTGGTTTGTTCTTACCCAGTCACATGTGTCTTTTTAGTAATATTACTCCCAGTTTTGAGAGCCAAGTTGGTAGGGACACTCCAATCAAATGTCTTCTAGGAAATGCGAGGAATTGTTCATAGGGTGTTGCATTAGTGGTGGTGCATAGCAGTGTTCTAATTGCATCCAAGGCCTCTGGGATAAGTTGTTTCCAATTCTCTAAAGCTATCTATTTATCAGCAGCTGCTAGTTGAATAGTTTTTCAAATTATTCTGTTATACTTCTCACACTGGCCAATGAGAGTTATATGGGGTTGTTCTACTTATGGCTACTCTTTGCTCTTGTAAGAACTACCATTTGTATTTGAACATAAATAAAAAGCCCCTCTGTTTGAATGAATATACGCAGGTAGCCCAAAGAAAGCAAAACCTGAGCAAAGTGTTTGTATGACCGTTGTAGAGGATACATTGGGGCAGGGTATTATGAAAGGAAACTGCAAATATTCATCAGTTATTGTCAGCATATATTTCTTAGGAGTTTTTGACAGAAGTGGTCTTTAAAATCCAATGCAATTCTTTCATAAAGTTGCATGGTTTTTATGACCTTGCTGTTATTAGGACAGTAAAACCTAGGTTTATTTTAAGCACAAGTCTGGTGATTTTTTTCACATCCTCTACTAAGTAGGGAAGGTTTTTGATTTTCGTCATGTAGACCATGTGTGTAACACCTGGGTGGCACAACTCTCTATATAGTAGTCTGTTGTGTTGGAAACCTACCACCCCTCTTGAAGATGAACTTGTCTGCATCTGTGAACAAAGACTTTAAATAGTGGCATGTCAGTTGACATGGAAAAGACAGATAGACAGAAAAGTTCCTAGCTGAGCTAGTTATTGACTACTCAGGCGATTTCTGTACCTTTTTACCAACCTATTAAAACCTTTTTTATTGTTACGTGTTATTTGGCGTTTGTCTCTACTAACCCCAAATCAACATCATAACATAGTCTTTAATTCTTCTTTGCAAGCAGCCAAGCTACATACATGAAAGAGGGCATCCACAGCTGCATTTTCTTTACTGGGGAAGTATGTTTTGTTGAACGACTAAAACAAGAGTTTCATTCTCCATTTGGCTATCTTCTAATTTTTAAAAATTCCACATAGACCCCATATTAGGGTTAGGTAGCTGTCTACCTCCCCAGATGTGACTCTGCCCTTTGGCATAGCCTGGTCTAGGTTCCTCTCTACCTGAAGGCAGAGGTGTTGACAACCAGTGTATCTCAAACTCAAAGGTTTGATATACTCAGTATTTATGCAATCCTCTACACAAGGTGGCTGTTATTTATGTGGGGTGTTCATTCTCCATTTCTTCTAATTTTTAATTTTCCTTGTTGTTTTCATGCTGAACATGAATGAGACTAATTTTCTCTCTTGAAGAATGCCTACTTTCCAATTTAGATAGGGTTCTGGAGAAAAAGACTATTGGCCTCCTTGACTGTCTTAAAGAGGTAGCTATGGCACATTCTGAGTTGCCTGTCTTTACTACCAGAGATAATGTAAGATTGGGTGTAGTAATGTCTTCTTTTGCTATTCTCCTCTTTAACTTGTTAAATGCTTTCTCTGATATGAGAGATAATGAGATGTTTGATACTGTTGTTAGAGTGCGGATTTTTGTGCGTAGTGTGTGAACATTCCTAATGAATGACACAGAATGGGTAAATCCTTTGGGGTTAGTAGGCTGAGTAATGGATTTAGATGTTTTGGATCAGGTTTTATGTTTTTACATATAATGTACCCAGGTAATTTTATATTTTTATGTTTAAAGTAACATTTGTCTTGGTTAAGCATAAGTTTATACTTTTTAACAGTTGCCAGGAATAATTAAAACTTTTGTCATGTTCCACTCAATTTTTCCAGCAAATAATTACATTATCAATGTCAGCATAAATACTTTGCAGGTTCTCTTTTGATGTTATATAGCCTATCACTCTTTGAAAACTAGCTACCCTGTTAGTCACTCCAAGCAGTATTCTACAAAATTGAGTTTGCCACTGGCCTCGAAGACTGTATTGGGTTTATTGCTGGGCATTATAGCTACCATTTTTGGCTATTTTCTCCATAATATCATCTATTCTTGGCAGAGGATAGGCATCCAGCAAAGTAAACTGTTTGGGTGTAGTCAATTACCATTCACTATTTTCTGTTCTCAGAGGAGACTACAAAGGCTTTGGCTCTCCATGGCAAATGGCTGGGTTCAGTTATTCCTTCCTTCAACATACAAGTAACTTTGGTTTAGATAAATGTTATAGACAAGCGCATGGTTGCAAGAAAGAAATACGACAACAGCGGAAATAGATTTACGTGGTTTATTTCAACAGGAACGTGTGGGTTTAGAACAGCTACCTTGTGGTAAAGTTCATAAGCCGGTTTCTGATCTAGGTCAACCTCTCATAGTAGTTCACACATGTTGACGGTGGTTGACGCTCCCCTGCTGTCAGCAGCTGAATGTGACAGGTCTCTATCCTGGGCACCTGTGGACTGACTGTTGAACTTCCGTGTGACCCCTTTTATAGCGATTTTTATGGCTTAACAGGCTCGAGAAATGAAGTGAGTATAATTAGGAGGGAAGCATTTTTATTGGACGAAAAATAGAGCACTTTAAATATTATTTTATTTTTCGACCGGAACACGTGTGTCGGGAACATTTGTAAAGAAAGTTAATGGTCATTTTGCGACGGGGCTTTGTCCCGTTCACATCCGGTTCTCGCTCTTGAGTATTTGCCTGTAAATCAGCTGAGATATGTCTTATTTTATTTTATAACATAAATAATTTATTTTCCTCAGTGTTTCACCTAGATTTAGTAGCTACCAGTTTATAAACTAGTGTTAAATAGTTGAAGAGAGCTGGGTATGGCATTCTCATAGTGCCAGACTGCAGACTTTAAAGGGTGACTTAGAGGCTCTGAAGGGTATCTCTACTAATGAATGTTGGCATAAGAAGTTGTAACTTAATATTAGGTTACAGCATAGATCTTTCATTAGTAGACATCTTACTCCTTGGTATAGAGTACCCCTTACTTGTAGATCAACTAAACAGTATCCAAGTATTTGTATGGAAAGAGATGAGCTAGCGATCGCTACTTTGTTTAGACATGGGTAAATTTTCCACAAATTTAATTTCGCAATGCTTGGATTAAGAAAGTTTTCTGTGCTCCCAGTGTCAATCAGTGCTTTTTGTTGCTGTTCACTAGCAGTGATTTCTATTATTGTAGTTGATAAGCTGCCAAGTATTTTCAATGATGCCAAACAAGTTACTGTTTATTACCTTTTTCTTACTTTTACAAACTTTAGCCCAATGTCCCTGCTTTCTGCATGTATAGCATTTGTCACTTCTAGTGGGGCATAATGGCCTTGCATCATAATTTTTAGCATTTTATTCTGCTAAATCTATTACTCTTGCCTGGTCATAGGCCTGCTGTAATGTTAAGGTGCTGCTTTCAATTATTCTGTCTTGGCTATCCATGGATCGTACCCTATTTATGAAGGCATCTTGGATCAATTTGGCTCAATATTGTTCCGCTGACCAGTTTAATGTGGGGCTTTCTGAGTGCATGTGCTTGGGCAAAATTTCTACATAGACCCTGCCTACATGGAGTTCGGTAGCTGTTTACTTTTCCCCAGGCAAGACTCTGCCCGCAGACATAGTCTCGTCTGAGTTCCTCTCCACCCGAAAACAGAGAGTCTGACAAGCTGAGCTTTGATATACTCAATATTTATCCAAGCTCCCCACAAAGCGGGATATGGCACAAGGTCAGTTTAATATGGGTCTTTTTTTGGCCTGTAGGCTATGCCAAAAATTCCACATAGACTCCATATACATAGGGTTAGGTAGCTGTCTACCTCCTCAGATGTGACTCTACCCTTTGGCATAGCCTGGTCTAGGTTCCTCTCTACCCGAAGGCAGAGGTGTTGACAACCAGTGTATCTCAAACTCAGAGGTTTGATATACTCAGTATTTATGCAATCCTCTACACAAGGTGGGATGGGGCATAAGGCTGTTATTTATGTGGGGTGTTCCAAGCCATAGGCTTGGGCAAAAATTCCCCATAGTACTCATAATAATGGGGTCATCTGGGTTGCTCACTGCCTAAAGGCAGAGAGGTTGACAAGCAGTATATCTCAAACAGTGGTTTGGAGTACTTTGTATTTAGCCAAATTTTCCACAGGGCAGGATGTGACACAAGGCCAATTTTATGTGGGTCTTTTCTAACCACATAGGCTTTGGCAAAAAT